CCTCCTTACAGCATATTACAGTTATTACGAAAGCAAAATTTTCAGCCTTATTCTACTTTTTTTTTTCTTTCTTTTTGTTTGCGGGTCACCCATGACCTAGCGCGACTTTGAGGTTCGACATCGGACGCTCTAGGAAACGTTCGTTCCACTTAAGCAAAGCATCCCGTATATGATAGTTGGCCATTGTCGACACGAAAGCTGTAAGTAGGTACTTTTGCGAGCGATCTTGCTACAGAGACACACGAAACGATGGACGAGTTCGCGCGCGTGCTCTGCTAATTATAACGTTATTGCTGCTATTAATGAGCAATTTCAGGGCGCTTCTGTGCACCGCTCGGTCGCCGGCGATATAAACTCGAAGCGCATTACGTAACTTACGTGGCGCAATTTAGCCGAGTTAATTAAGTTAAAGTGTGTTGCGCGCGGGCGAGTCGCGTGCGTCGTCGTCGTCGCAAGACTGTGAAGGCATTTATTTCCTCGTCTTTTCGCTATTATTTTTTATCTTCTTTCGTCTTTTTTTTGTCGGTGCTTTCGCAAAACTCTCCAACGGACGATTGCTTTTAACGTCCGTAATTACGGTTTTAATGGCGAGATATATAAGGCAATTCTGCGATTTGCTCTTACAGCGTTACGGTATGCGTGTTCACCTTAGAAATATAATCCGAGAGAGGTCGGAACAACTTTCGTGCTACTCCGTTAAGAGCTACTTGTCCGTCTTCTTAGCTGCTTTTCACGAACGAACTCTAAAATTACCCCTCGCACTTCTACGGCTTCTGTTTACTGTCGTGTAAACTCGGAATGGTTTTTGTGAGTACCGGTAAACGGCAGTGTTCACATTTCGCCGCTGGACCCAACGATATTGGACACCACCGGTGATTGATATTCCGGCCTGAGAGACGTCCGCACTCTGTTTTTCGTCGGACTGATACATCGGGAAAACTGGCAATCGTAAACACTTTCCGCGCTTCACATTCGGGTGTCCAAACGGTGGGTCAGTGTGTGTTTTTCCGTATTTTTATTTTACATATGCTTGTTATTTATTTAATCGAGATATGCAAAATTCAAATAACCGAATTTGCAAAGATACCAAAGAATAGATACAGAGAACAAGACCCGTATGCTTAAAGCTGCAAGCACACGAGATCTCGAAGCGCATCAATTCAAATTTTAAAACCAAAATTTATGTATCCGAACATCATGGATGTATTCAGGGAAGAATTTGGGGAATTCAAACGTCTCTGAAATTTTTATTCATTTCTTTATTTTTAATTATAAATAATTTAACGTTTTTTTTTACTTTTAACTCTAAATAAATTTTTGTTTTTACAAAATATTTTTTTTCTTCGTCATACATAAGTAATTTATGAAACTTCTGTTAAAACTTTGTCAGAGTATCTAATACATATGAAAAATTTTCGCAAGATTTTTGAGAAAAACAAAATATGTTGAAATATTAAGGAGTATTCCATTCGATCAAATGAAAGCGATATCGCCAAAATTGCTGCTTATAGTATACATGTAATAATAGAATTTTGAAAAAATCCCAAATGCCAAATAACTATGTAGCTATAATAAAAATCGTATTTATCTATATATTCATACTATTTTTGTTTTTCCATTTTATATAGGTAAATTCCCGGAATTTTTCCCAGAATTCTTTCTTTTATTCCCTATGGCTGCAAATCATACACTCGAATATCCGAGATTTCGCCGACATTTATTTTTCATATACTCGCAGTTGTGCTTTATAAATTGAGAGACACGAAAAATTTAAATATAGAAACTTGGAAAGATGGGCACGTACACCTAAACGCAAAAAAAAGGATTGATGACCGGAACGGTACTTACTGTTAATAATTCAGAAACGTAAAGGTATCCGAGGTATCAGCCGAGCATTACATCTCTCGTACTTGTCTATCTAGTTTAATATAACCTTCTGGTTTATAAATTTCTTTCTTAGCACATAAATTCTTCCATTTTATGCTGTGACTGTAAATCCGGCGGTATCGCGCGTTTACGTGCCGTTTGATGTTTCGTGGCGCAGAATTGGAGCGGGATTACGGTGAGGTCGCGCACGTTGATGCAGGCGAAGTTGAGCGTTAAAACAGCAAATTTATCTAGCAGGCGGCATACCGCTGCACCGACGCCGCCGGCGTCAGCATATTTAACCATAATAACCGCTAACAACTGAGAGTTTCCTGGTCGGAAGTACCGGAAGTGCACGCTCGCGCCACCGCCGTCACCCTACATGGCAAGCGATCGCCTGCCTAGCTAAGCCGAAACGTTAAACGCCGATTATCGTGTTCCCATGCTCTTGTCTGTAATTTCCCGAAGCAACTTTCGTCCGCGAAAACAGAATGCAGGTATTGAGCGTTAAACAACAAATATAATCCATTTTAGGGAGAAAATAGACTTCGGTTCTTTGCAGCTAAGCTCGCGATCCGAGAAGATATAGAGGTATCTCTGAACATAAAAGAATATTAAATATATTAAAATATTAAAATATAATATATAAATTAATGTATTATATTGTATAATTAATATTATATTACAATATAAAATATATTATATGTATTATAATAATATATAAATTTATATTATATTAAAGATATTATATTATACCTATATATAATACATATTAGAATATTATTAGAATATGTTCTGGAAAATGATTTAATATATATCTTTTAAACAAAATTATATATTTCCTTTCCTAAAGTATTGTAAGGTAAATGAAAAAAAGCACCTTTTCTTAGATAATACATAATACATACATAATACATACATACATACATAATCAGATTTCAATTTTAATTTTATTAAAAATTTTTCATCCAAGATTTAACTATTAAGATCCAATATTATTTTAATTTTTCTTTAATCACAATCGGAATGTGGTTGGTTATTTCTAACTCCAGAAGATCAGTCATGTCCTTTTTTTTATCTAATAAAATAGCAGAATCCATACTCACATAATAAATCGCTTTCCCTTTGAAATTGTTGAATATTGTTCGTACCATAGCATTTTCCAGTCGCAATAAAGCTCACGCACGCTAGCTTTAATAACCACGGACGATTTATTGGATTTTATCGCGGAGATGGTAAAGCAAAACTCGCGAGCATTTCTCGCCGTGGGCGACGTAGTCTGATATTTACACGTCCGCAAGGAAATATCAGACGTTGCCATGGTAATAATGGCTCTTTTTTATAATAAAGACTTACTTCTTGCACGTTTGTATTTGTTCGGCCATATGTCGATCAATTTCTAAATGTATTTTTATAAAAACTTTGAAGCGTTATTTATCGAAGTTTTTTGAAAATATTTTTAAAATAAGTTACAATATATATATATAATTTTTAGGAAAATTAGATACATTAAGAATTTTATAATATTTGCATCTTTTACATATTCAATGGATGTAGATATATAAATCTGAAATTAATTTTACTTTCGCGAGAATTTATGTAAAAACGTTATTTTCAAATACGTTAATACCAAAATACTATTTGTACGATCAAACACGTCAAAAAATTGCCGTTCAAAAATGTGTGAAAACTATGAGCGTGATTCAACACCGGATACTTTTTACAAGTTAGCTGTGATGGTTTTACATCTCCAAAACGTTTAAAGGTCTATATTGCAATGAGTCGAAAAAATAACATTTTGATTCGCATCTCGCATATGGTCTGCAAAACTCTCTGGAAATTTGCGTTTCTGTTTGTGAACGTAACTCAATTTCGCTGCGCGCCGTTTGCCGCCGCATATGCAATGAAAAATTCCATATACCGCAGTAGGTATATAGAGCAGTTTTGAATAGAATCGACAAACTTTCAGAAATGATAAAAAGAGAGAAATAAATATTTTATAACAAGAAATTTATGTTCTACAATTTTATTTTATTATGTAATTATATTGACGTAATTTAAATTTATTTCTTTCGATGTTATCTATACAAGGTGTTAAAAAAAATCATTCAACATTTATATGGTAGATAGTATACACCTAAACCTTAATGAACATAAGTCGAGAGAGAGAGAGAGAGAGAGAGAGAGAAAGAGAGAGAGAGAAAGCTCAACACTATTTCTTAAATATAAATAATTTTGTTTGTATCATAACTAACTTATTGTCTCTTCTACGTGTTGAACGATGAAATGAGAGAAATTGAGATAAGTAGCACTAATAGCCTATTTGGGAAAATTACAGGTCCAATAAAATGATCTCCCATAATGCCTATTCAATTGTAATGGCTGGTTGATGTCAATTTACTGATTCCTGATGAAATTTTTCATTATAATGCGTGTAAGAAAATTGAATCAGAATATTCATAACGCAGTTTGTAAACACCGAGGTATAAATCTTCACGTCGCATACGATAGATACGTAGAAGTGAATAAGTCAGTTATATTAACATACAAAATTGTTTATAAATATCTTAGATACGGTTGAGTTTTCGATCTATATTCACTAAAGCTTTTTTTACAATATGGTGTATACTATCTACGATGTAAATGCTGTTTGTGAATGATTTTTTTTTAATAACCTGTATAATACATTTAATACTTTATAATTTTTATATAATTTTCCTTTTTACGAAAAAAATTTGTTTTTTTAAAACTAAAATATTTATTTACTGATATAATAACAGTTTCTTTAAACTGAAAAGAAATATAAATATTTATGATACAAATCATAAATTTTAATAATAAAATTTATAACGTAAATGTTAAATTCAGTAATGTAATCATTTTTTAAATAAATTTGTTTTCTTTTTGCGTACTAGAAAATTTATGTGACCATATCAGAATCTTAATCCTTTGATCTCAGAAGGTGTTACATGTGTCGCCTCTAAAGGGTGACACCTGAATTATTTGTTCGTTGATTAAAGCCATAGTTATTCATTGTTTTATCTTTTTTTTTCTTTTGCCAGGACCTGCATCGCCAATGCCAGATCTAGTGGGATATAGTCGTTGCGGCTATACTTTAGTATTGAAGGGGTTGGTTTTTCCTCAATGGAAGCGACGACCTTTGGCTGTCATCGGCTCCAGGCTCTTCCTTTATCCGGGTAAGTGTTTTATGGTAGGTATTTATAGATCCTGCCAATCCTCGAGATAAGAAAATTCAAGATAAAAAGAAGTGTGTGACATGTACGGCCGACAACAAATATCTGTGATGAAGAAACAACCCCTAAACATCTGTCAGAAACATTAGGAATCATTCGACAGTATATCTGTCCCTTTTACTCGTAATTCGTAAAATCCCGAATGAATTTGTGAAATTAGCACGTAATGTAGAAAATCTCTAAATTTTATTAAAACGTCTCTTAAATGAAAAATTTATCTGCAGTTATTCTTAATTGTTGTTAGAAATTGAGATACATTTTTAATATTGCTGTTAGTTATTGATTTGAAAATCCAGATTTACGTTCCTTTAAACGAATTAAATTATTTTAGACCCGAATTGAGGAACAAAATAAAGAATCAACTTAAAGTCGAAAAATTTTTAAACGTATTTTATCGAAAAGATTATTTTTCTTGCAAGATGCTTAAGGTGATACTTAACTACAAATTAATTTAAATTAACATGTGTCAATATATTAAGTTATTTCATAAAATTATTAAATTACGCTTATATAAATAATTGCAAATTCAGCGGTGTAATTTTTTGAAAAGACAAAGCTATCAAGAAAGAAAATATTACAAAATCAGCCTCATATCTTCCCCTCTCCCTTCTTGCTTCCTTTTCCGACACCTAAAACATCATGATTTATCTACGTCCATCCCTTATCCTTCTGTTAGAACGATCCTGTCACCGAACAGGATGCGTGCCGTGGATCAAGAATTTCTTCGGCCAAAAGGATTTATCGTCCTGACGTGCAATTACGTTGCCGAACATTCAGATACGCGCGTTGCTATCGCGCGAAAGAAAAATGGCATTGCTTGCGGAACAAGAACTGTATTTACAGCATGGATAAGTAATATAGCGAATTGAAATAATTGGAGTATTGATAGAATTTTCATGAATATATAGAATAGGCTCTATTCTTGCCCATCTAATAAACCCATTTAACGAACTCGTTTAACGAACCCGTTTAATTGGCTGAGAAATACGTATTTCAATATCGAGTTACCATCTCGAAAAAGCTTGTATACACTTTTGTATAAGATAAAAACTGAATTGTACATTTATACACAAAACATTCTATTCTTATTTGTCTAATAAACCCGTTTAACGAACTTGTCTAAAGATGCGTTTAAAATATTATTATCTCAAAATATCTTGTGTACACTTTTATACAAAATAAAAATTGAATCATATATTTTTATAAATAGAATATACGCCATATTTGTTTGTTTAATAAATTTGTTGAATGAACCCATTTAATTGGCTGAAAAATATATACGTTTACAAATATCGAGTTGTTGCTCTGTTTCAAAAAAGCTTGTGTACACTTTTTGCTTTTGTATAAGATAAACGTTGAATCGTATATTTATATAAATAGAACATATTCTATTCTTGTTTATCTGGTAAGTCTATTTAACAAACTCGTTTAATGACCCGAGAAAGATATGTTTAAACTATTACTATTTGAAAAAAATAGTTATCGTATCCTGTGTACACTTTTGTACAAGATAAAAATTGAATCGTATCTTGTTAGAAATTTTAGATTACATATAATATTACATATATTATATAATTTGCACACATCTATCCCTACGAAGACCCGTTGACTCAGATATTTTTGCCATGATGACAACGAAGTCGGACGCGACTTTGCCGAACGTGACCCGAATTAAATCGTCTCCCTTATGAAGCACTCGGACACATTCGACATTTTCTAAACCATAAATGTGTGCGGAGCACGAAGTCAACGACAAGATAACCAACAACCTTTTATTATCTTTGGAACAACGATGACGTTTCGTCTGATCGTGCATTCTTAGAGCTTTGGCTTCGCGATTTTTATGCATTTTACTCGAACTGGCACGCGTTATTCAAGTTACCGTCAAATTAGGTGATCGATATTTCATGTCGGCGTATTAATTTATATCGTCGAAAATGGATGGAATTATTTAACGATAAATTGGTAGCGCTGTAAGCAACGTATATCGCTTCATTTGTGATGCTTGTTGCATTAAAATTTTCATCACGTATTACAGAACCGAAATTTTTTACTCTAAATTTTAATTTTCTTACGTCTGAAATATACATTTTTTCAAAATGTTCTAATACAAGTAATAAGTGAAGATTATTCTTCTTTTTATAACTTGGCATTTATTGGAACTTTTTACATTTATTTATACACTTGGTTGTCGAAAATAATATTGGCAATATTGTTCCACTTAGCGCTGTACTGTTTTATCCATGTGGCTTATAACTTCAACTAGAAACTACTGTTTCGTCGATATTAAAGCAATCGTGATTGCTTTTGTGGTATATAAGTTTGTACATAAGACACACGAAAAAAGTTAATTAACAATATAATACGAATGAAATTGAAAATAAAGAAAAGAAAAATCTGAAATTTTCTTCTTCCACTATCATAAATTATCATCTTTTTTCTTATTTCTTTATTCGTGATATCAAATCCTTTAAAGAAATTTACCATTTTAAAATATGAAATTCGTAATATAAAACTTTCAAATTAGTTTCCTTTGTAATTATAATTTGTGATTTCACATTCTAATGTAAACTGCATGTTTTTCTCGGAGTTTCGAAGTTTCGAGTTTTTTTTTTATGTCTTTTGATATCTTTTGCAGAAGATACGACGCGCGTGCGAGAAATATCCTATTTTAGTTTCGAAAACGATATAATCAAGTCTTATCTCATCTTATCCAACAGAAAAGGCAGTTCTGAAACTGTTGTAAAATTCTTTAATATAATTGATCTTACTCTCTTTTCGTCACTAGATTTAAATGTATGAATCAATCATATTAAAGAATCTTACGACAGTAGCAAAGTTGCTTTTTCTTCTAAACGCAACCATTAGTTTCTATCTCATTTATAATCGACATTTATGAACCATATTTCAATATTTGAAGTGCAACACCCGGTAGGAGCCCTTGTACAGCGTATGTTAAATGGCGTTCCAAGGGTGACCCGAATATGACCAGCCGGACGGTCGCTAGCGGCCTTCCGATAGTCGATTTTAACGAGCGTGTCCCCTAAGCGCTCAACGACGCGCTAAACCTGGTCGTCCCGCGGCATCACGTCAGTTAGAGAGCCGCGCTTGTAGCCGTTCCTATGGGAGCCAGGACCTTGATTAAACTCGAGATAGTGGTAACAGGTGTTCGCCATCGCAGACCCGTGCTGAATCAACAGCGAACAACTTCTCCAAGACGATCTCTCTACTACCGGACTTCCCGGTCGTTACTTCTTGGTCATCGCTCGGAGATTGGTATCAGGCAAACGTGACGAGAGGTAGAATATCGTCTTTTTGGTGACACAATCTTGATCTCGACATCTGCGTACCCGGTCACGCATCCGAAAGTGTTTTCCCATCATACCGTTTCTCTATATATTTAAGCTGATATCGACATATTTTCTCATCTAATAACTGCATATATGTACTTTAAACTTTTAAGTCTTGTAAAATCAGATAAAAATTTTTCAGTAATAATTATTTATAAGATTCCCAAAGTATGATTAATCACGACTCATCGGTGGATGATCATAGCTGATTTTTAATGGGTTAGGAATTTACGAAAGAATTGAAAATTAAATCACACTTCTTTGTTTTGAGTAATTGTACTTGTGTGCGCACGCGTCTTTTCATGACTTTATACATGTGTGAAGCTGAATTTGCAACGATGCAGCAATAGTAGAAATCAAAACAAAACTTTGAAATAAATTACAATTACACAGGTATTAAAAAGAAATATATAATTTTTTTGTATGCCTGTGTAATTGTTTAATCTGGAAATGGCCATAGTATTTTGACGCTCTGAAACGAGTCCAAATTGCTCCATTACGTTACAATTTTTATTGACGGAAAATAACTCAATTTTCCTATATTTTTAGAGCCATTTATGGTCTGGTTTTTAATATCTTTTACACTATCCTATAAACGACGGAAAATCGAGCTATTTTCCGCCAATAAAAAAAAATGTGATGTAATGGAACGATTTAGACATCGAATTCAGTGTCAAAGTACATAAGAATACCATGATCTAATTTCCATCAATTTGATCAACAATTTTTTTGTGTTATTAAACTTCTTGCGTCTAAAAATAAATTGCACCAATGACATTATTAAAGCTGTTATCAATCGAAAAAGGAAACGTACGCATTCTTCACACGTATATGTATTATGTATCTGAGAAATAAATTTACAAAATTGTATTCAATAAAAAATTAAAAAGTAGGAACAGTATAGTGATATAAATAAAGTACATAGTATAAATAAATAATTAATTTATCTATTTTTTTCATATTTAAACTAGATTGCAGATGTTTGCCATTTTTAAAAAGTAGGTCACAATGCATCTATGCAAGTTTGGGAAGCCCTGAACTAAATTTACATTTTCAGACAATTCGAATATCTAAGGAATGCTTAGAAGATCTAAATAACGTTATGAAACGTTTTTAAGATTTTTATTATATTTTTCGCGGTCCGATAACATTTAATTTATTGTAATAGTCACCCATTTCACGAGAATGCGCGGGGACTTTGTATACATTGCATCCTATGCATCGCTGTTAGGAAATTGCCCACTGCTCGATACGTATCTTGCAAATGGAACCACAATCTAGCATGGACGCAGAATGGCGGCTATTCCAGAAACTGACCAGCCTCGCCGGCATTTGCTGATTTAAGCTGCGGCTACCATCGGCTTCAATTAGGAATTGCTTGAAATCCTACGATTCGGAAACGAATATTCGGCAATTTCTCTGACTCCTCTTAGTGCTGTTGACCTCATGTTATGGATTTAACGATCCTTTTCCTTCTGTATTTGTGGTTTAGTAATCTAAAGAATTTTAAAATTTCAAATACATATTGCAAAGAATTCGCATATTAGACAATTTCATAAAATCATTGCTGTATATAATAATTAGCTACGCATTCTTTTTATGGAGATATTTAAATGTATTTAATTGTTTGATATTTAAATATTTTTATATTTGATAGTAAAATTTTTAGATATTTTTATTTTTTGTAAAAATTTGATTTTTCACTTAATATTTTATTAAAAACGTTTATTTTTTAATATAGATTATTTTTAAAAAGTGTGGTTTCATGTAAAAATGAAACTGCTTAATTTATTTATTTCAAGTGTTCATTCTATTCGTCCTACATAAAGTTAACAAAATACGTTAAACTTGTTAGAATCTAACTTAATGAGCTACTAGCAAGAACTTCTCGGGGCGTTTAGTTTTGGAACCATCCCCGGAAATTAGTTGTACAGCAGCGTAGCAGTCTTATTGGGAAACGATGCCAACCGCGTGCGCCGTATCGCTTAACAACTGAAACAAAGTATATTGCCAGCCTCAACTATTTTCCAACGCTTGGCACCGCAATTCGAGACCAATAGGAAAACACAGTTCGTTCTCGCTCCGCATTTCATGAAATAATGTAACAAAATCGATTGTATTACGTATATTTTTAATTCCCGCTGAAAATAACAAAAATTGTTTAAAAATTTATTACATTTTTACTAATCTTTTTACTAATTTTTATGTTATTCAAAATAAATTATTTGGATTAATGATGGTTGCTGCACTTGTATAGCAAAATTTGTATAGCAAAAGATACAAGAGAAGAACATGAGGATGCATGTTTGCATGAGCTAGGGATAAGGATTACGCGTAGAGATAAGACTTGGTCCTTCAGTCTTGTTGTGTCTTAGCGAGGAAGCACGAAAGTGGAAAGATGATGATGAAGGAGAGAAATATTTATTATAAAGTTTTGTTGTAAAGTCGTTCGTTTCAACTATATGTATATATACCACTACTAGTAGTAACATAAATAATAATAGTTATAATAGTAACATTAAGAAAGAGAAATATTTTCGTTAAGCGTAACTTACAAGATTTATGATTCACAAATTATAGAACTCAAGAATCTTTCTAGTCAATATCAACTAAAAGTAACACAAAATTTACATTATTATTTCGCAATCACCAATATTCGCTCGTATTCAGAAAGCGATGTTAGCATGTATTTAGCATAATTCACGTTACGTATATATACTATAGAATTTCAGACATAAAAGCGCGTATTTATCGATAAAAGCACGTCCTGAATACAGGCCTATAAATATAATATAACGTATGGTGTTACATAACAGTTACATCGTTGAGTGCAAAATTATAACATACACAGTTGGAAAATTGTGTTAAAAATATACTTCACGTGACCTAAACGATCTACTTAAATTTTTGTTTAACAAAAATGAGTATGTTAGAAAGTAACACAAATATTAAGTAAATAAAATTATCATAAAAAACGTAACACTGACACAATTTGTAAGCAAACTATGGAAGCATTTCAGTAAAATTAATTTTTGTGATATGTTAAATTAACACGTATTTTATTTATTTATCTTAAAATTTTTACTTTAAAACACATTATTTTTATATAATATTATTGGTTCATTACTCATAAATTATGTTATTTTGACACTAAGCAATGTTGAATATCAATTTAATACAAAAGATTTAAATAACAATCATAATATATGAAATTAATAGATATGATATTCGAATATTCTAAAAATTCAACACACAGGTTTTTAACAACTACTTGAATGAACCATTTTCAACACAAATACAAAATTTTTTTTATTGTGATAGTTATTATATTACTTTTATTTGATGTCGACTGTCATAACGTTTTATTAATTCTATTAATTGAACCGAAACCTCTTGAGATTTCCAAAAAGAATTCTCCACATGAGTCCAATTCTATAATCGTACAAGCATCTGTTTGTTGATAGAGCGTCGCGCTCTCCGGTATTTCGTGATCTATTGCTCCGAATATTTTGTATCGGATCGCCGGAAGCGTCTGATACTGTTTTTCCCGAGAGAAGGGCAAAAATTCGATAATACTCAATGGCGTTTGTATCTGCGAGAGCGTACCGGTCGGTGATGGATGTTCCCTGAAAGCCGACGCCGTGGAATGTAACTGGCCGTCATCGGAATATCAATGACCGTCCGGCATTCTCGGCGTAGCTCGACGTAATTAGACCCCGCCGTTGGTCTCTCGGGGCAAGAAATGGAGTCGTCCCTCCGCCATGCACGCCTAAAACATGTCGAGCACGTAGAAATTCGAAATTCGAAACGTTGAAGCTTCATGTTGATATGCGCCTAATACATATCAATATGCCTAAAGTAAATGTTCGTCGAAAGAATAATGCACTCGTGTCAAAAATTATTGCTTTTATCAACCAATACAAACGTAAAGAAACGACGATCGCTTTGACGTCATCCTGTACCAACAATTTTTCAGTCATGAGCAATTTAACTGGGAAACTGTCACACACAAATTAAAATTACAAAATTTTTTTTAAATAATTAAAAAAATAAGATATTTGGTTTCTTCTATTATTATCCTTGAAAATATTTTATTTTGCGTTTTCCATTTGCCATGAGACGGACTAATTTTTATTTTAACTCTTATTTTAACTTCTCTTTATTTTTTCTTTTTTCTCTTTTTCTTTTCTTAATTTTAATTTTGTTGCAGCTTCTCATTCCCGTCCGTCTCACTCTGTAACATTTCTCGGCTTTATACAAAAGTTTATTTTTATATTTTATTTTTATTAGTATTACTTTTGCTATATTATTTTCGTTATTTGTACATTTTTGTTCTTACACTTTTCTTTTATTTTTATGTTCTTAGAGGGTTTGTTTTACAATACTATAATAAATATCTTTATCTATCTATCCATCCCTGTGACACTTCTCACAACGGCGCGGTGTCGTCGTAACCGCGCTTATACATTATACTCCCAATTTATCAAAAGGCTGATAAATAACGAGACAAACGCGTTTTCTCCCAGCTTGTCCGGAATCACGAGCAGAATGGATGGAACTGAGCGATGGAGGTGGCGCGGTATGCTATGCGCCGTCACGTCTGGGCAAACTCGTTTTGCGTGTCACTGGGTTTCCCAGGGTCACTCAACAGTGCCATATGAGCCGACACCCCGAAGAGAGTCACCATCGTGAAACCAGGCATCTGTATCTGGGCTTCCATCATCCTTGGGATCGAGACCTCTGGAAAAGCTGGATCAAAAAGGTAAACACCTCCTAGCTATTCTTTCACACGAAATCGAGAAAATTTCTCGCAACGATTCAATTTGTGACGAAATACAGAAAACATCTGGAGACATCGTCTTAGAAGAGAAATATGATTTCAAGTCAACTAGAATAATTTGAATTGAAACATGTAACAATGTAACATTTTTTTTTAAATAACAAAAGCTGCCGTAGAATTATTAAAAAATATAATATTTGTTTTATTATATTGTTAAGAAACTGAAAATTTATTATATCATTCTTGTTCACCAAAAAATTAATTACATCAATTTTAATTGTACGATGTGATGGATAATTTCAATATCTATACAAATTTTATTACATTAAAATATTTTTTACTAATACGAAAATTAGTTACATGATTCATCTTTTCTTCATGTATTTTAAATTTTCAAGAACATGTAATCATTATGAATATATATCGTCGATTTGCTTTGCGTGTACTTGTCGATTTAAGATACTTCATTGCCAAAAACACTCGGTAATATATCAATTTAGTAAATTAACTATCTTGATATATTTGGAAAAGAAATCCCAATTGTTCAACAGCGATAAACTTTCACTACCACAATAAATAAACACAGAGAGCAACTCACAGTGACGCGTGACGAAACAAGAATGGAGAAACCCATTTTCCAAGAGGTGTATACAGCCTTCGTCGCAGTAGAAGTTTGCGCTACAATTTCAGTCGCTTTAAAATTTAAGCTCCCGCAGCTGAAACCGATTCCCAAGACTTTTCTTTGGGCATACTCCACGAGAAAATGAACGATTCTTATGCAACGAGCTCGGACAAGACTGAATCTTGCATGACGTCCTGAAGATAAGCGAGACCGACGCTGACACGAGGAGTACACAAATTGATATTCAAAATGCATAAGGATGTCTGTGTGCCAGCAAGTAAAAAATTTTATTTCTTGGAATATCTGCGTAAATTATTTCGGATCTTGACATCTTTGTACCGTAACGTATCCTGGATCTCCCAACAACCCTTTCGAAAAGGCCTTTGGCGCGTGTAAATAGGTCATATGGAGGTGATATTCCGAATAGGTAATATTCCAAAGCATACCAACCATATCTGGAAAGGAATAGGTGGAACATCAATGCAGAAGCGACGAACACACAGAGTACAACATGGAAATTATGCCATACAGGGAAGGCGGCGCGGACGGCGCCCGATAATGTCGTTACACGGCGACGGACAGCGTAGTGAATTAGAATTGTGTATTGTTAACTTGCGGTCCGATGCAAATGAGGACAAACATAGGCGTTTTGATGGGCTTTAATAGAATCACCAGCTAACAAAAAGGACAACGGAAGGCTGTCCGTATAGCCGACAGTCCAATATTCTGCAAATATGCATCAGTTTGCTGTGAAATGTCTCTTCATCATGCGCGCTATATATACACTCGTTTAATAAACGAGTGCACGCGATTACAGAAAAAAAAGCAAAACATATGCAATACGTTACGAAAACGTTACATACGTATAACATATCGTTTATAATTAGAGACTTATAATTAAATGCATATAGAGAAAGAGGAAGGTTGCTGGTTTTAAAGGAAAGATATCCTGTAAAAACTTTTCTCCTATTCACATTGCTGGCTTATTTCCAGAGTTCATAAATAGACGCTTAATTTTCAATAACTCTGCAGAACAGTTGATTTTTCAAAGAGCCTGATGTGTGGTTAAAGCACCAGTGAAATCAAAGGACAATCCCCCTTCTTCATCTCGCGAATCCAGCGATATCGCGACTGAAAAGATCAGTGACAACGAGAGTAAAAGAGGTTGGCTGTAGGATGGTCCAGGACTGAAAGAAGAAGGGGACGGGTAGCAAGAGGAATCCAAAATGATGCAAACATTGGCCTAGAGGCACACCCTGAATATGAAATCACGATGAACAAACTTTAATATCCGAATGCACGACGAAGAAGAGGAGTAAAAAGGTTGGAAAGAGAAGATAAGAGACGAAAGCACACATGGCTGTTTCTATAACGTTATGACCGAAACGATTGTCAACATCCGCGACATTATCGGCGATCCAGATCGATCCCCCGATATTTTCGATGGCGAATAACGTAATCGTAACGACGCAGTCAAAAATATATTTTTCTGCGACTTACTCATAACATCCAGTGACAAATTTTAAAGCCCCCCTAGGGCTAAGCATTTCAAACAGAACAACATTTAAATCTCTCAATGTTATAACTTTTTTCGAGAATATTAAAACGTAGCAGCACAACAGTTAGATCAAACAATTCGACGCGGATTTTATTTCCACATCAGTATATGTTATTTACAAATATTTGTTAAATCTGTATGATAACTATACTCTGTTGGAAAACAAATATTTACAAAATCGTAGTGCAATTCAAAAGGGGTTCTGAGCGGTCACGGGAAAGTCACCGTTGAGAATAGCTTTATTTCACATCTATTTCTCTTCCATTTACGCCAATGGACTCTTTTCAATTCGAGTAAATGGCAACTTGCGAGAAGTTTAACATATACGCAGAGACGCACAATAATTGGACAAACATGAGCGAGTTTGGTAGCATTTGCAATACACCAAAGCGAACGTGATGCAACCCAAAATGCGAGATCATGAATCGGATAAACACATCACTAAATATTCAGCGATCAGTTGTACAAATACGCGATGCGGCTTTTTCTATCTCTTTCTTTCTCTTCCCCTCTCTCTCTCTCTTCCGTTTGCCTTGAATTATTCAACGCGAGTATTTTGCCGCTTTTCTCCATGGCGCAAATGCATCGCCGCCACCACGAACCTGCTGTTATTACATCGACTTGATGCACGGCGATCGCGTTTAATCCGTCCGTTGAATTTTCCGCTAATGTATTGTCGTGCAGTGAATGATGGGCGAAATTTCCGGAATGTCAATCCAAATTTTCGACCTTTGAAAATCTTTTCCCCGTTCTGTTATTTTATTTTATGCCATCGATTTTGCATACAAAAAGGTTCACACTGCATGTCAAAAAAATTAATGCATATCAAAAAATCTTTATCGAAATTCTCTATAAATTAATTACCATTCTTATTTTTTCGAATTATATTTTTCTCTGTATATACATATGTATAATATATAACTATTTATTTTATATATAATAATTTATTTAAAAAGCTATACGGATTTAATTTGATTATTATACAAGTTAATTTATTTAATCAAATAAGATTTATTAGGATATATCCAAATTTACCATGCATCTAATTAATAGTTTTAAGACATTTATTTATTATACGTATATTTTTTACAGAAATAAGAGCTTATATAATTGCAGATTTAATATTTAATTTATGATATTGTCATCTGTCCTTTATTTAGCATTTACTGGCGGAATTTGCTTTGCGTCAACTGAGTTATTTTCAAGCACGTATCAGATAATGAAACAATTTTCTTGAATACGGCATGCCGATGACACGATCGAGTGGGCTGTGACATTTTGTAGTGGGACGTCATTATTTACTTAATAGAAATGAAACGTTTTAAACGATTGACTCTATGACAAGTCAGTTTGATATATCAGCTATTTGTATATTGTCTTGACAGTTTTGATATTCTCTATCCATTAAATCAGACAGATTATCAATACAGTTTTAATACTCAATTAATTAATTTTCCGATAATTGGCTTTTTTGAGGATATTTAAATTTATACCTATAAAAGATGGAAAAAATAAACGGAATTGACCGAGATTCAAATTAACGCGCTATTTCACGACTGTTCTATTTATAGCTTTCGTTATTATTATGATCTTCTATCAGTACCTGATCAATCTTACTTATATCTCTCTACGTTATAATTAGATATTTATAAGAATATATATTATTTCATATACGCTCTTTGCAGTGTTTTAAAATACTTATTAGCATTATTATTAAATTGCGATCAATATGTTTATTTTTGTTTATGATTGCAATTCAAATCTGACAGTAGTCGGCTCGCAGTGTGTGTGTTTATATAACCGGAAAATGTAATAATTTAAAATTTATGTAGAAGTATTATTAGACACCACAAAATCCAGTCTCAACTGTATTTAATGCTTTTCATTTATTTGTGTTATTCATATAAGTTCTTTTTACATTTTATATACTAGATATTCGCCAAATAAGTAATTATTGAATCTCTGCTTATTTCTCATTATATACAAAATGTTATAATTGTATTTATTAATATGTGATCTTTAAATATTTAACAGAAAATTTTTTTGTTATTATTGAAACAATTATTAATGTTAATATTAACGTTTCTTTATTATTTATTTGTAAGTTATTGTTTTTTGCGTAAAACTAATAGTATCCAAAAATATTTAATCTTTACTGATATCTGAAGAATAAATACATACAGTAACATAATAAGAATTTCATTTCATTTTACTAAAGGGAATGTTACTTAACGTTAAATATGTAGAATCATGTGTATTTAGAAATTTCTGCAAAAACTGGAAGCTTATGCAATAGTGAGTCCATTAAATTTGCAAAATTTAAAACGCGAAGTCCGATTAATAGGGACGTGTCCAAATATTCGATTACGTTCACTCAACGGCAGACGATCGACATTCTAGTCGCTTGGGCAAATTTATCACACTGCTCTGTTTGGCAAAAACAACAGAAAAAAAATGAATAATAAACAAATACGACTCGATATAACGGATCATACTTTCCAATCTGATTATCCGTACGTTCCATTCGAGATGCGTTCATGCGTGCCAACAGAACGCATTGACCACGATGGAACGTTGCATCCACGTAGCTGCATCCAGTTACGTGTCAGCGTCTCATTAATTAATCGTATTCCTCGTGTTCACTATATCCGCAGCTAGAATTAAACATCACCCATGAGATATCTATGAAGTCTATTTTTGCGACGTGAATTCTTCTTTTCGACATGTTCATCGTGAATTCTTTCTTTTGATCAAACTGTGATTGCCATGATTTCATGAAAATTCTTAGCTCCATTATTTCGA